TTTATATATGAATATGTTTATCTTAAAAGCGTGTTTATAATAAAATTAAGAATCATTCTAATATAGATGAATTAATTTATTAGAAACAGGGACTGTGTTATTTTGCAAAGTAAAAGTTATTAGCAAATGTAGACAAACAAATTATTAAAATGACACGCCCAAAATACTTATATGTTATGCAATAGGTGTTATGAACGGGTAATTGTAGATATATTATGCATTATACATGAGAGACCTTAAAGTGACATTAAATAAAGAGAGTGTGCATAATTGGGTGGGGATGCATATAGTACTGCACAAGCACAATTGGAAATCAAGTATTCTCCACGAGGAAGAGGAACATCCTCTTGGAGGGTAGCCCCCACCTGGCGGTGGATCTGCATTCCTGGAATCCTTTTCGTGACAATGACGCATCCTATGCTTCTAACCCTCTCATATATATTCTTTTCCTTAACTAAGTTGTGAAAGGTGATAATCCTCATTGAAACTTGTGCTTTATTAGTTTTATAATAACATTATTACATCTCTCTTTGCTTCCCTAGCTTGTATATTCCTCAACTTGATGAGCCACTGTTGTTTACCATCACTTTATTCCTTATCCAACTTATAAAGTGTACCTCTACAATCACTGGCTTATAGATCAAGTTCTCTTTCTTTTTACTATTGGTTCATTCTTAGCTTAGCTTGGAGATTTATACTCCATCATGTTCATCAACGATGACTATACTTTTTCTCATTATTTTATGGTCACGCCCACCTTTTAGGACATTTGGAAGAGTAAAGACAAAGAAACGTAAAATTGAAGCTATGGAATTGATTAAATATATGCCCAGCCAGACAAAGAACATGCATATGGCCCTATTTCTGTGCCCAACAAAATTGTAAATTCACATGGATTATTGATTAATCATTTCACCCTCCGGACTCATACATACAAATGCATTACATATATGTATGTATGTTAGCAAGAAAACTTAATAGATGCTGTGTTTCTGTAATCAATTACTGGATATATTTCAACATCATAAAATTACTGGATGTATTTGGCTTTGTGAAGGAATACTCATCACGTTTAATTGGAACAAGAATGTGGCATTTCTATATCCATATATACATTAATGCTCTGAATATATATATATATATATATATATATATATATATATATATATATATATATAACAATTGTTCTTTAATTTCCTTTTACCATTGGGTTGTCCATTGACTGAAGCAAAGCAGAGAGATTTTTTTTTTTAAGATTTTAAAATACTTTTAATTTTTATATAATTTTTGTTTTTCTGTAAAAAAGTTAAAACTAAAAAAATAATTTAAGTTTCTTTTTTATAAACCAAAGAAAAGTAGCTCTAAAAAATGTTATAAAAGTGTTTTCTTTAAAAATTTATCCTAACGCAGTAATGCACCATAATATAGGTATATATAGGTACAAAAAGTTTGTCTCCGAAAAGGAGTTATTGAGTGACATTGAATATTTAGCAAACTTCGAGATTTTTCATACGTAGACTTTCAGATCAAAGTTTTTTTTTTTTTTTTTACTCTTATAATCATAAATGGAACTTATAATTACCTTTATTTAAAGAATGACATTATTTATAAGGAGAAAACGTTACACACATTTGTTGGCATTAAAAATAGAAGAACATACGCACCGTTTAGTTAGGTGATTCCATAAAACTCATAATAATTTTGTAATTTCATCATAGAAACAATTATTTTAATTTTTTCTTCTTGATTACGGTAAGATACCCTATTTTAATATCATCCTCCCTGTATGCCCCTTGATATGTCTGTCCTTTTTTATGCTTGTTAAGTAAGAGTGAAAATAAATTAAGTTATATTAGGTTTTAATTTTAACGTATTTGACTTGTTCTAATCAAAAACAAAGTTTTAAGCCTCGTGGCATATTATTTAATATAATTCTTTTATTAAGGTATGACATAATTTGTTTATAAATTTAATCTAAAAGTTTGTTTCAAAACATATTTTATAATAAGATTGATAAATGAATTAATGGGTCTATAATTCTAAATATTATTAAAAGTAAAAATATATGTAAATTAATTATATATTTAAATTGTTAGATATTAAAATTGTATATATTTATAATATAAGATCTATATTTTTTTTAGATATTAAAAAAGTTTTAAAATTTTTCTATTTCACACAGAGGCACAATATTTAGATTATTTGTATCGATATTTATAAAACTTGAATAGCAAGAGAAATGCAAATATTTTTTTTTTCATAAATTTCAGAAGCAAAAAATTAATGTTAATATAAATCAATACGGTATTAAAATTAAGATTAAAATAACAAATATTTTTAGATATGATTCATATTATAAAAAAATTAAAAAGAATTTTGAAAAGTAATTATTCAATGAAATCTTATTCAAAGATGTAATTTTTCTGAATTAACTTAAATTAACTAATATAAATCGATCTTTCCTCGTCTATATAATTTTAAACGGGAAAAAATCCACTTAGCTATTATCTTTTGTAAAATGCCTAAGTTTAATTGTTTTTTCTATAAATACACAAAAGCAAGAAAAATTTAAAATTTTAAACTAATTGCAAATCTCTAATTCTTTACCACTATTCTGCTTTTAATTTAGCAGTTTCTTTTCTCAATTACTATAAGTGTTTATATAAAGAAATCTCTCTCTCCACCTCCCTCTTTCTCATATTATACAAACACACTCTCGTACACATGTACATTTTAATGTTAATAACAAAGAATAACCATTTCTCAAATAGATCATTATATTTTAACAAAAATGAAAGCTTTAAACTTCAGATCCAAAAAAGCTAAAATCCCAATGATAAAAAAAATTCAGTTTCAAGCATCAAAATTTTCACTCGTAGAATAATGTTTTAATTTAAATTGTCGACTACCCCACTTAAGATTGTAGGACAATGTTGTAGGGGTGGTCCTTGATACAACTTGGAGATTTGGAACTTGGGGATTACGACTTGTAGAGAGCATTAGTGGAGGTTTTGTGATGATGTGTCGATGTAGAAGAACATAATAGAGTGGAATACACCTTAAATTTTTACTTTATGCAAACTTATTAATTTTTTTTTTATGTTTATTTTAAGTTATAGTTTAATTGATATTTTGTTTGCTCAAAATGATAATGTTTTGAGATGTTTAATTTAGTTAAGGTTCACTAAAGGATATCGGTTCCACGTAGATATTAAGTAATATACTTATACAGGGATATGTTTAGAACTTAGGTTTTGAAGAATTTTTTTTAATAATTAAAAAAAACAAAACAATATATTATAAATATAATATTTTAATTAATTAACTTTTATAACATTATATAACTATTAAATTTTAAAAATATTTTTTATTTTAAAAATTTCTCCTGAAAATATCTTAAATGGGGTAACAAATTTAACAGGAAGAAACACATTATAACTAAAAACTAAGTTGAAAGACTAAATTAAGAAAGAAAATTAAAATGACAAAAATTAAGACTTAAAAAAATCATACAAGACTATATGCCTGTGTTACAAGAATAAAAAAAATATATATTACACACACGAATCAAGTTAATTTTTTTTACAAACATGATTTAGAATAAATTCTTTATTGCAAAAGAGTCATTCTGAATGCCGTGACCATCTTAAAAAAGGAAAAGAAAATGGGTATGATGAGTTTTTAGTTTTGAAGATAAAATATTAATGAAGTTTGGCTTTAAAAATTTAATATGTAATTGAAAATAATAAAAGCTCCTAAAAATTGATAAGAACGTGTTATTGGGCTTGATTTGTAATTTATTTCAACGAAAAATTATTTTTTTGAGTTTTTTTTTTTCAAATACAAGGATAGTAAATCAATAAGTTGGATAATAATAGTGGAATGCTTTTCCTTGCATGATTTACTAACGTGGTATCATTATTTTAGTAAAGGTTGAAATATTATCAGAGCGTTATTTATTTATATAAAATAAAATATTTTAGCCATATCGAGAAAATTGTTAATAGCTTTAAAAAAAATGATTAACATGATATTATATTCATACGGGAATCTTGAAGGAAATATCATAAAAACAAAATCTCAAGATTTCTTTTTGTTATTCAAGCAATTTCTTATTTATTAGGTGATGAGCTGGTAGCTTAGATGGATCAAATCACTTGTTACCCAAATAAAAAGGGGAAAAAAGTAACACACCTCTCTCATTAAATCCTCCACACTGAGCTGCCAAATTTCGAAGGAATATTATAGAATTCCACTGGGAGAGATGATATTCAAAAATGGCGTCTAATAAATATAATTTTCATCCTTGTTGAGACTCACATATTAGATTTCTCATAAAAAGACAAAAACTTAGCTATTGTTTCAAAATCACAAGGTACGTATAGCATGTCTCACCATCACCACGTATCTCATCCATCCCCCAATCGTGTTATTTATTCCATTCCTCAATCCCTCTTACAGACAAAATCAAAGTTTTTTCATCAATCCCAAGGCCGTGTCAAACTTCACACATTCATGCATAATTGTCAAAACACAAAGACAGATCAAGCTTATAGATGTCTCTTGGTTCTTTAACCAACGCTATCATAATTAATAATTCACCAAGTATATTAACCAACCTATCAAAATTCTCACAAACCCCATGCGTTATATTAAAATAGTAGTGATTAATTCCATTACGTAACACAAGCCACCAACCTCATCTACCCTATCGTCTTCCAATTTTCAGAACATTAATTTTCATTAATTCAATAATTTTATATACTAACATACCTGTAAACGTAACAATTTGATCAATCAATCATATAATAAACCTAGAAAAAGGAATTAACATATGAATCATATAGCGGAAAAAACAATTAAACATAAAATTCTGAAAATTCACCGCTTCTGTTGATACGAAGAACAGCATTCATGAGATTCACACACAAAAATCCGTATAAACGAGAATCAACCTCAATTCAACATAATTAAGAACAGCCATAAATCTAAAGTATAGAAACAAATTGAAACGATCAAATTATAATGGGATTGGAGAGAATTCAAGGTATGTGATTCGATTAATGAACATATACGATTCGGGATCCAATATTTCACATCTTATACAAAGTGAAATATATATAACATATAAAAAAACCAAAGAAGAAGAAGAAGAAGAAAGAAATTGAACAAAAGAAGTGGAATAGGATTAAAAGAAAAAAAAAAACAAAAATTGTGTAATTTACGTAGTTTGACACCAAGGTAGTGTTTTCGAGGAAGCTAAGGTTGGAATTATTTTCATGTACAAGGGCAGCTCCTCTTAGGAAAAGTGGATCTGAAAAACGCATCCATGTCCTCCTTACTCGTCACCTCGAAGAACTGAAATTCATCTAGAAGCTTCCTCTTGCACGACACGAAGGGCTTCGGCTTTCGCGGCGCCGGAGGACACGTCAGCACGGCCGGAATCTTGCTCTCCTTGGACGTCGGAGTACGGTAACTCTCTTCGTCGTCGGCGACCGTGACGGCGCCGTCGTTCTCATTCTCGGCTCGTGTGACGACGGAGGAGATGTCATGGTCAGGGGAGGGAACGTCGTCTATTTTGACGGCGGCGATTCGGAGCTTGGGTAACTCGTGGTGGAGGTGCAGGTCGGTGGACATGGTTTGGACGTGTTTGGACGGTGAGAAAGTGGAAGAGAAAATTACTCAACGTGAGATGCGTGAAACTGCGTTTGTTCCTCTATATATATAGAGATAGTTGGGGAGTTGAAAAACTTTACGGAAAGCTTTCAAAGCGTGCGTTAGAAGGTAGAACCATGAGAGAGAGAGAGAGAGAGAGAGAGAGAGAGAGAGAGAGAGAAGGGTAGGATTAGAGCGAGAAAGAGAGAAAGAATGGTAGGAAGAAGAGAGAGAGAGAGAGAGAATGTGTGCGTGATAAGTGTTTTGGTTGGAGGTGGGGCACCGGGGTATCCCGATCCCTTAACTCTGTTTAATTTCACATTTCACACCACTTTATTATTTAACTATATTAGGAGGATTGCGGTTAATTTGGTCTGAGAGTTTTGATTCCGTTTCATCTATTATTATCTTTAAATTAACTCTTCTTTTCCTTAATTTTATTATTTAATTAGCGATGAACAACTCCCCTGTAAAGCTTCACTTGTAGCACTGTCATTTTTCATTATTTACTTTAGTTAGGGAGAGTTGCAAATTCAGGACTTGAAAAATCATAGAAATTTTGTTTCGGATTCGGATGATGTGAACACTATAGGAGACCTTTATTAATCTCATTTATAAGTGCATATTAAAATGTCTTAACTAGATATAATTACTTGCATAAATTCTGATATAGGGGAATATATCTTTCTATGTGAAACTCAGTTAATCAAAGTTAATAATACCAACAGTGGTGTTAACAAGAATAAACCTTGTTTAATCCTCGCCCTTTCTTTCCTTATTGGCCCCTAATCTCTAGTATCAAAAATTTCACCAGCAACAGCCTGTTTTGTTAACCACAAATGGAACTGCGCCACGTGTAAATAGTTAGCTTGGTGGGACAAAGATACCCTCTTCAGTAGGATATTAGATAGTCTCGGCCGCAGTAGATAAAACCGGCTTCCTGAACGGATGTCACGGCCCCTTGCTTTTACGAACGGTCAATAGTGGAACGTACATCTTACGTTATAGGCAAAAGGATAGCTATTGTCGCTTGGCCTCATCACCACGCGCCTTACAAGGCGCGTGTCTGACATATTTCATTCCTTTTTTCTTTTCTTCGTTTTAATCTTATTATTGTTACTATTTATCTGATTATTATTTGTAGGTAGTGTTCAGGGACCATTTTTCCTTTTCCTTTTGAGTTTTCATGATTTTTCATATCCATTGCTTATTAAGGTGATTTTGAAATATTTGTAGGACTTTATAATTGTCCGAAACATAAATAAACATTTTAGTGGGCAAGATTCTCTTAGTCGTCATTTCAATTCTGTGAAGTTGAAATTTGAGTTAAGATAAATAAGTTTTTAGTGAGCCGGTGTGTAATTTTATCATAAATTCCCTCCACAGTTAATAGTCTTTTTGGTCTTCATATGAACGTGAACTTTACCTAACGATTAAAAGAAAACATATATATGCATGATTTGATTATTTTGTTTTGGATAGATTTTGCGAAAAATCACGTCTCTATAATTAACTCTGGACAGCAGTACTTTACTACGTACATCCAGAATATACAAATTGACAATTGCCAAGTTCTATGACTTCAATGGTAAATAACTTTATGTAGCAAAAAAATGTTAAAAAATTTGTTCACCTTATCATCAGAATTTATGTTCTACTTTTTACAAGACATATGCCAAACTAACCAAATTTGAATTTCATGTTAATTAACCCAGTATAGAGAATTATCACTCACGTGCTCTCGTTCTTCCTTGTATGGTCAATGGCGTCACCCTATCTTTGCTTACTAATTTTGTTTATCAGAAAAAAACACACATATAACTAGTACTGTATATTTTCTAGTAAATGTTATAATTTTATGAGTTATGAATCTATGTAAAATGCTACATAATTCGAGATATGGAGCATTAATATTTGATATGCAATATGAATGCTTTACAAATGTGATCGTACATGCCAAATGTTATCTATTTACCAAAATTGAGTGAAGAAAACAAAATATCATAGGGCAATGATTGGACTTCTATCTTTTGAATATATGGCAAATGAATATATATATATCGGAGTGGATTGATGTATCATAGAATATAACCGATCATATACATGTCATCTTTGATTATTTTTGTCCTTTAGTGCTACATGATTGACAAATGGCTACTACATATGTATATGAAGATGACTTTCTATTCTTCACTAATTTTCTTTGTGTTTGGCTCTAAGAATGTTGAGAGGTAAGCAAATTACCGCAAATACTAATCATGATTATCATGTTATTAGTTTGATGATTAATAGAAACTTGCGATGCTGTTCATTAACCATTCTTGAAATCAGATGTACTTTTACTAATTTTCAATTTCATTACGTCGTCTTGTTTTTACTGATATGTATATACGTATATATATTGACACACACTACAAGAGCGGGAAGATTGAATTTAAACTTAAACGGCTGTTATGAATTGGGAATTTATATTAATAACCAAGGGGTTAATTGTTTGATTTAATTCTGAATACATATTTTAATGATTAAGAATTATTCTAGAGATAGAGAAACTACGTACTGATCAAAGTGTATTGATTTGTTTGTATAGTTGGGTGTTTTAAAAGCCTAATTATAATAAAGAGATTAAATGGAAGCGGTGTATTTATCGCAGGAAGTAGATGAATGTGAAGAAATGAAAAATTGAAATATAATATATATATATATATATATATATATATATATATATATATATATATATATTGTCCCCTGTAATAAGGCATTAACATGTGTTTGTAATCTCTTTGTCTGTTGCGAGAAGATGGGTCTCGTAGCTGATCCCATGATGGAAGAGGGTGTTCGCTTTCATGGCACCCCACAGAAGATGCGCGTGCACATGGGCAATGCATGCAAAGAAGACGACCTATCTTTCTGTGCCTTGTTGTTTTCTCTCCCTATGACATGAAAAATTCATCGTGATCTTTCTTTGATATCATTAGAGCATAGGATACCATCTTAGAGCCTTCAATACGCCCATCTACTTCTTTCTCTCTCTTTCTATAAAAAATTGTGTTTGTTAGTGTGGATTGGGTTTACCAAATACCAACCCATCATCAAATGAATCTTTCCACGTGCATTGTCTACTTACTACATATTTATGTGCTTGGTTTTCACCGCTAATCATAAGCAAAGCAGTTATATTATTCTTTTACTAATTATTTTATATTGCACCCCTATAATTGCTTCCTACTGCAATTTTTAACACACTTTTTTCAGTTTGACTATTACAAGTATCTATTCTAATTTTTTTTTTCATTTTTACACAATAATTATCATTTTATAGTTTTCTTTCAAAATGATTATTATTATTAGGAAAATTTAATCCGTATTTTAAGTTGCACTTGACAAATATAAGTGAAATGTATAGTACTAATTGTAATTTTACATATTAAAAAAATAAATTCCTTGTTTCAGGAAATTCTGATCATCCCAAATTTTATGATTGTGTTTAAGTACTTAAAAACATTTTTAAAAAATAATTACTTTGCAATATTTAATATTGACTTTAATAACGAATATTAATAAAACGGTAATTTTGATGCATTATATGCATACATACGAAAAATTTATCATTATTTAATTATGCATGTATAACATATTATAAAAACTCTTTTTCTATGCAATAGTAAATTTTACCAAATACTTAAAAAACTTTGATAATATATAATTTGATGAGCATTTTTAAATGCTTACAGGAATGCTAGTCTGAATATAAGTGCATTTAGCATGATCAGTTTGATGAAAAATTCATGTGGATCGACACAAAAACTAATTTTAGCTTTAGATCAAGAGTAAAATTTGGGAGATAAAATATTTGAGTTAAAATAAAATGTGTTACTAATAATGCATATGCAAAACAGATAAAAGAAGAAATTCAATGTATTTATCGATGAGAGAGTATTTTTCTTATTTGGGCATTTTCGCATTATACTAATTCATGTTATTGACTTTGTACATACATCCAGTAATGTCATTGATCCCTATGAGTATGCGACCGAGGATCGCACGTGCAGAGAGGTTTTACAATGATTGTGACTGCACTCCCAGAACCCCAGATAACTGTTTCATTTTTCTCATTTATTCATTTGTATATTTGCATATATTCATATTGATTCAAGTATTTCAGTGTCTTTCACAAGTTTACTTATTCTGTAATTTTAGAGGCTTGAGGAGATGTCCATTAATGCGACGACTCCATTTCAAGTTTCAGATAGCGATATTTTTTAAAAATAATTTTCTATTATATTTTATTAAATAAATATTAATTAAAAAGATACATATGTTTATTATCTTAATTAAAAATATTATTTTATCAGTTAAAAAGTTATTAAACATAAAAAGTAAAAAGATTTAAGATTATTCCATATTAATTAATTCATTAATTGCAGTCAGTAGTTTCATGGAAAAAAACAGGCAAAACTTCAACATTCCTAGTCTTTACCTGCTTAACTACTACTTTACTCTTCGTGTCAAAGTTAATATAGAATTGTTACCTTTCGTTAGTTCTTTCGCTTTTTCATTTTAATATTCAATATGCTTTATTCTCTTTCTAAGATAGATCAACGAGACGCCAGATCCAAAGAAAGTATAAGAAGAGTTCATGGCAAGCCTTGTGTTAAGGTTTTCTTTAATTTCCATTTTTCCAATCTGTCTTTATCTCAAGCTTGTGGGTCAAGTTTGCTCCTGTCTGACCACGTACTATTTTTTTCTTTTATTTATTACTGTATAATAAGGAACCTAATAACATGCAGATTGAGGTGGTGCATAAGATCTCATACACGTTAATTCTTTTGCATTTTGAAGCAAAATCGAATTTGAGGATTTGAGCAATATGTGATTTGTTTTTCTAAATACATCCATAAAAGTTGAGTATTTTAGTGCAGATTCCATTCAGTGGTTATACTAGACATCAAGCACCGAAAGACATTAAGAGTAAATAAATAAAAGAATTAGCTAGAAGACAATTCACAATATTGGCTAGTGAATTTTGTATCCCTATTGTTGCTTAATTGTTGACTCAACATGTTGTTCTACAGCTGGACCATTGGCATTATTTGTGCTTGCATGAGGTTCATGTTTTGGCTGATATCGGATTAGCTTAAAGCATGCCCATTATGAATTGATTATGATCCCCTAACCATCGTTCCCATTTGTACTCAATGGTATCCAAAGAAACTTCATTCAAATTTCTCAGCATAATACTTCTCTTGGAAATC